CTGTGAAGCCTGTTATCGTTAGCATATTTGTGCATGTAATGAACTCCTCAACCGTTAGAAGGGAGACCACACTGATAACTTCACTTTGAGCTGAAGTTTAGTGACTACGACAGGGTAAAAAGACCAGTAATATAGCTGAGAGCTTCACTATGAGCTGTATTTTTGTGTTAAAGAGCATAGTCTCACTCTAAGTGCATATCAGACTCTAGATGTTGGTAGTGACAATTTGTCAGAACACTAATCCCAGCATTCTGGATATTTCATACAAGAGACTGTCAACAGGTTCAATTATATTGCTCTTTTTCTCATTGCTAGCTGAATCTGGACCAGTTCATGCTCTTGGATGTGGCACAAATCTCTAACCCTTACTAAAACAAGCGCAGAGTAGGAGAGCAGCCAGTTAAGTGGCTGGCTTAGTACTGTAAGCATCACTAGATTTGGTTTTTGTGAAAATCTTATCTTAATTTTACAGAATATTGTGGGACCCTTACTTCGTGTTTGCGTGTCCATTGAGCGCGAATGTAACACTTTGAAGTAAGACGTTGTGACAGGAACGTGGGTATCTTTAGCACTAAAGTACTGCGTCCTCACAGTAATGGACGAGCTTGTTCTCAAACTGGATAACGTAATGTTCAATCAACACTGGCACAGAAGTGTGACAGCCTCTCTGAGTTTGTGGCAACAGGAGCATCATCATCAACAACAATATCATCGTCATCATCATTATCATAATCATCATCATTGGGGGAAAAGTCTCAGGAAACCATGAGAGTAGCGCCTTTGGAGTGTCGTCCATCTCTGTGGCTTTGGCATTGTCTGCTGTGACTGTGCAGGCCGATGCGCGAGTGACGGTCCCTATTGCAGTTGGTGTAGACCTACTTTGAAGTCTGAGTTGCTGGGTTTGCTACCACACTCTTTTCTCTGCTGCCAGCTGGCCTCTTATCACATTAGCTACTTTTATGAACATGACAACCATGAGTCTTCAGGTGCCTCGGTCGAGTGAAATGTTGCATGCCTTCATGTCCCTCTTGCACACATCCTTAAAACGGAGTGAGAGGCGGCGGATTCTTTTGTTGCCTGTGGTGCTCACCAACGTTGAAGAGCATTGGAGCGAGACGACAAGCACAGATCAGAGACTAATTGTTGCCTTTCGTACAACGTTGGTGAGCATCTGCGACATGGTCTCTCAATCTCTGGAGGACATCCTCGGTATGGGTCACTAGAGCAGCGTCGTCAACAAAGATCATCTCCTTGAATAGCGCTGACCTCGTTTTGGTTTTCAAGTACATTCGTGCCAGGTTGAACATTTGAGTGCATATATACGCCATCACTGTATGTCCTTTGACAGCCTCCCATCCTCCATGAGTTGGACGTGTCTCGGCCATAGAAGACAGTCTTTGCCATGCATTGAGTACATGCATGGGATACTTACAAGCTACAGGATCTCGAACTGTGGGACGCCTTTTTCCTAGCTGATTTTCAGAATGCGTTTTAGGCAAAGTATATGGAAGGACTTGAGCCAGCGCTCTTTCCTCGTGTAGGGGCCCCAGGTCTCACTTCCGGGTAGGAGTGTGCTGAGAACGCAGGCCTAGTAGACTTGGATCTTAGTGTGCTCTGCTCTGACAGTGCCTTGTTTTCCCACACCCTCTTCGTTAGTCGGACCATGATGTTGTTTACCTTTCCAAGCCTTCTGTCCAACTCAATATCAAGCGAGAGAGTGTTGATGATGGTTGACCCCAGGTAAGTAAAAGATGTTGACTGCCTCCAGGCTGACAAAGTCGATTGTGATGGAGGGGTCAGTGGTGGCATCTTGCGCACAGACGTTTGTGTTTCAGGCTAATGGTGATCCCGAACTGCTTGCAGACATCTGCGACATGGTCTCTCAATCTCTGGAGGACATCCTCGCTATGGGTCACTAGAGCAGCGTCGTCAACAAAGATCATCTCCCTGAATAGCACTGACCTCGTTTTGGTTTTCAAGTACATTCGTGCCAGGTTGAACATTTGAGTGCAGATATACGCCATCACTGGACGAGTCGAAGGTATAGGAGAGGAGCATTGGAGCGAGACGACAAGCACAGATCAGAGACTAATTGTTGCCTTTCGTACAACGTTGGTGAGCACTACGTTTGATGCGTCGGCAATGCAGCCCGCCAATATAAAGGAACGCATGTCCTCAAACATGCCGTGATATCTATATGCGTCTGGAGTGCTGAAAGGCAGACATGTTTGTGTTACAGACAGTGTGTAGCCATACATGCTATTCACCATGGCTCAGCTGACCGGTTTGACATCCCGTCCATATACCATCTTTTAATTGTTGGTATTAATACCTATGGCACACTTTCAATATGGCATTATGTGGCATCCTCGCCTGTTCTGTACAGCATGAATGTCACAGTACACATTTACATATTTTATCCGCACAATTCGTTCTAGTTTCAGCCAGCTTTCATAGTTTTAGAAGTACTTGGCATCGCTCAAAAGTATCCGACCTTCTATTGAATAATGTATCCAAATAGATGTGTCCTAGTTGTGAAACAACTCTTTAAATACAGTAAAACACCCCTTTTATCCGGCATCAATGTATGTAGGAAAGGAATCAGACGGGGAAGAGGGGTTCCTCCGGGCTAACGAGGCGTTTACCGATCGTGTTGCCACACTAGTACATGCTAACCTCTCCCGAACTGACTAAATGTTGGCTCTCGATCCAACTGACTGTTATTCCTTTATAGCCTTCCTATCATTTCTCCACTATTGCCAAAACAACACACGAACAACACTTATTCCCCTGTTTGTTCACCAATGAGCTAAAATAATGACACCCCTGTGCAGAGAATATCGTCATGGTTTGACAAATTAGTGATCCTAGTCAAAGGCATCACGACCAATATCTGATGATGAGTCAAGAAGAAATTTTAGATATTGATATGGCAGAAGCATGGCCACTTATTCCAAAAGAGAATGTCTTGAAATAGTATTAATAATATTTCAGTCAAAATTTTACGCCTCTTGGATACGAAAGCATGAAAGTTTAAAATGTCATTACCTCCTGGACCACGGCTCTTTTTCAGCTCTCTGAAATCCAGCGTTGTTTGCCAGAGATGAAGTTCCTCATCGAAAATCTGAAGATGCTTATGTTATCAGCATAGATAATAGTCACTTTCATGGAACTAATTGAGTAGTAGTATACCTTTCCACTGACGAGAGCTTGCAATATATTGATTTCCATGGATTACCTAGCATCGAAGACGTTATCATAGATTTTATGAGAATAAATGACGTATTCACTCAAATAATATCAGATTACAAGGATCAGATTTCAGAGCGTGTGAACAATATTGTATTCAGTACAGAAAAGTCGTGGATTCCCATAAGAACATTAACTGACTTATTGTTTATTTGATCTCTCTAGATGCCATACAAAAACCAAAACGTGATTTTCTGACCATTTTGGCTAGCTATTTCCTTTAGCTCATCCCTGACAAAAAGGTCAGTCAAGATCACTGGAAGTAATTTCTTGCTATACACCGATGCTAAGCTTGTAAATAAATTATTGAAGCACTCTAATGTTTAAGATATTTAATTTGTATTGTTAATTTTCAAATACTGTATATGAAGAGGAAAGAAAGTTCCTAATCAGCGTCTTCATTGTTTGTTTATTGAGTTGGTAAGGTTGGGCTTATCAAATATAAGAAAGTTTAGTTTTAAATCGTGAGTGCTAGTTTGTGATTTATATTAAGAAATACTTTAACATCTGCTTTGATTTTCTATCTCGATATTTTCTATATATTGTACATAAACCTGAACGTCATGTGACATACCCTTTAATATTCTGGCCTAGTCTGTATACAGACGTGCGTTCGACCATGTTTTATATTCATCGTTGGTTAATGAAGGATTACTAAACACTATGACGTTGGGAAATTTAGCTAATCTATGCGCATGTTACAGAGTGGAGCACGACCTGAGCCGAACATGAGAGCACTGTAATGAGTCCAGGTCAACCAAGCGCCTCATACTAGACGTCTTCAATGAGGAGACCAAGAAAAGTAGGGAGACAGACTAGACAGGGAACAGGAGCAGCAACGCCTTAACGAAAGATGCATATGGATTCAGCACAGGCCCAGGCAAGAAGAATACAAAATGGAGGAATAAATTAGACAACATTTTAGCAGCAAGACAAGTATCACCAACGATTTGCCAGAACAATTCCTGATTCCGCAGACGGAAGATTTGTAGATGGACTAATTTTATCCTTTCTGTCTCGTAGACAAATAGAACACATAACAGTGTGTTAAGCCATATCCTGAATGTATACTTATTTATGCCTTTAAGATCGCAGATTCAGGACTATATCCATTAGCCACATTCGTAGCAATATAGATTTTTCAGAAACAGATGTTTGCTTTAATGCTTTTTCTATCTTTTTCGTCATTAAAAAACACAAATCCCTCTTTTCTTCTGCCTTTGTCATGTGCAACTGTATATAAGTAAGATGATACTGTGTGTGTGTGTGTGTGTGTGTGTGTGTGTGTGTGTGTGTGTAATAGTGCAAATATTCTCACCCTTTTTCTCCTTCACTCAAACACCTTGAATCAGGATTGAAGGATTGTATTGTGTCTGCTCTTTGTGTTACTCTTCCTTCATATACCTGGTACTTTCTTGCATTGTGTACTGAAACATTCGTAGCAATATAGATTTTTCAGAAACAGATAATGTTTGCTTTAATGCTTTTTGTATCTTTTTGTCATTAAAAAACACAAATCCCTCTTTTCTTCTGCCTTTTTCATGTGCAACTGTATATAAGTATGATGATACTCTGTGTGTGTGTTTGTGTGTGTGTTCGTGTGTGTGTGATAGTGCAAATATTCTCACCCTTTTTCTCCTTCACTCAAACACCTTGAATCAGGATTGAAGGATTGTATTGTGTCTGCTCTTTGTGTTACTCTTCCTTCATATACCTCGTACTTTCTTGCATTTGGTGTACTGACCGCTCCAGTGGCCTAGTGGCTAGAGCTTCCGTCTAAAATGCCGAAGGTTGCGGGTTCGAACCCCGGCCAAGTCATACAAAAGACTTTTTAAAACTGTATTAGCTGCTGCCTCGCTTAGCGCTCAGCACTAAGAGGTAGGTGTTAGGACTGGTCGGCCTGGTGTCAGGATAATATGACTGTGTGGGACATGATTTCTGCGCATTATGCCCCAGTGCTTGACATCACCATAATCTGTCACGCTGCAGGCCTCGTGGCGATATATCTGAGAAATTTCTAAACCTGTGTTAAAAATCCAAACATCATACACACACACACACACACATACACACACACAGGGAATCCTTCCAAGAATCGACATAAATTATAACCTGGTCAATGTATGCATGACGTACATCTATACCAGATGTTACTATTGTTTTTGAAGCGCTGAAATATTGACAGAGAATCCTTCATACCAAATAACATCAATTATATTCCATCTGGAGTTGATAAAAGCAGAAATTTCTTTTGCTCTATCAGTAAGTGGACTCTGCCAGTATCCTTTTAACAGGTCAAACTTGGTGACATATTTTGCATTTATGATCCTGTCAATGCAGTCAGCAATTCTTAATATTTGAAATGAATCTGCTAATGTGTCACTGATAATTTTTCGGTAGTCTGTGTACATACAGAAAGAATAATCCGGTTTCAGCACAAGAATACACTTCACTTGCTTTTACTAGGTTCTATAAAGTCCTTCTCTAGCAAATATTCAATTTCCTTCCTCTGACATTTCTGCTTAAGAGTATTAATCCAATAAGAGTGTTGTTTTACAGCTTTTGAATCTACAACTTCGACATCGTGGTAGATTTTGTATGCTCGAGTTGGAACAAGTGCTCATATTCCCATATTAGCTGCTTAAACTCATTCTTCTTCTCTGGCTGTAGAGTGAAAGTTTATTGTCCAGAATTATAATATTTCAGAATTTTAAAATGATCCAACGTCATTATATTCAGGTTGTACTCATCATTTAAATAGTCATTGTGTGGGAGAAAAATAACAAAACTTTATCAAATGATTTACAGAGCTATATCGATCAAAATTCTCTTTAATCATATTGATATGGCAGACTTGTTTCCCTTTCCGCCTTTAAGAGGGATCATAATACTTAGTTTGATGAGGACACGACTATATGAGCAAAAGAGATCGAACTTAAATTTGTCACCAGGTGAAAAAGTTTTTTCATTATAGTTTTGTCATACTTTAATTTCATTTGTGATTGTGTGGACTGAAGATTGCCATTTCACAAGCTTTCGATAATTTGTATTTTAATTCAGAGACTGAATAAAGTAAATTAATTAGTCTATGATTCCTCTTCAACAATTTTCATCATCCACCAACAGTGTTTCCAAATATAAGTTCAAAAGAACTAAATACTAGGGACTTTTGAACCAACTCCCTAACAGCAAACAACAGTAGGTGAATACGTTTGTCCGAATCTTTTTGGTATCAAAGCAATATGACCTTATCATATTCTTTAAAGACTGGCGAAACCTTTCCAAAGTCACCTGGCTTTCGGGGTGATATGCAGAGGACTTGAACAGCTGAATACCTAATTCATACATAACTTATTGGATGAATCCTGACATGAAATTAGAACATTTGTCATATTGAACGGATTTAGGAAGGCCAAAAAGTGTAAAGAACTTAATTACGACTTTGTCTATAGTTTAGTCTTAATTTTCCGTAATTTGCTGTAGAAACCTTGTTGACATGCACATGAAAGGACCACAAGTATCGGTTACCTGACTTAGGTAAGGGACCTAAGTAATTTATCATGGTCTATACTAAATGCTTCGTCAATTGTAACATTATTTATAAAATAGCTTGTGGGACCTTGTAGTTAGTTTCTCTTATAATTTGACGAGTGTGACAAAATATACTATAGTGAGAAACATCGCTTTTAATTTTTAGGCCAATAGAAATGATGTAAGATCTTATGGTATGTTACTTTGATTCCGATATGACCAGCTAAGGAAGTTTCATGGACTAAACTTATAATTTCCTATCTATATGACTTAGGTATCAAAAGTTGATAGTCACTTGACCTCTCGTGATCTCGTACCTCGGGTGGTCTCCCTTTTCTAATAAGGACCACATTTTTTAAAATATGACAAGTTGGAGCCTCTGAGGAGTGAGCTAAACTACAACCTTATCTTCATTTAAGCCATTCAAAAGCCAAACATGAGATCTCAGGATCTTTCCTTTCACCCGATCATAATCAGTATTTGATTCTACTATTATTGAAATATATAGATCACTAGCTTTGCCAATTAGTACAATCTGTAATAATAAAGTCCTGTGTCCTCTTGGCCATTTTGATTTCTCTGCTATTGTTTAAAAAAGTGAAAATACTGGTCACCATCTTTTTTTAAACGGAGGTGCAAATCAAATATTTTGTAACATCAAAAGCTGTACTTTCGTGAGTGGAGTGCTTTTTAATTGTCTTTTCTATTACTTTTCATTTTTCTTTGCATTTCAATCTCTTTCTCTTTTTTTGATATTGCAATTTCATTCGCATCTCTCATGTGATTTATCTGCATTTCGCGCTTTTCTTTTTTCTTTTTCTTCCTTTTGAATTTGCAATTGCACCTCTTCTTTCTGTAGTTCTCTCTCTCTCTCTCATTTTTCTAACTGCAGTTTCATCTTTCCTTTCTCTTTTATCATTTGCATTTTCTTTCTTTATCATGCATTTTCATTTTGAATTCCACTTCGTTTTCTTCTATTTGAATTTGTAATTGTTTCTTTCTTTCCTCTTTTTCAACCTCAACCTTTCTTTAACTTCATTTCATTCTTATATTTTAATTTCAGTTCCATAAATTTTAAATTAGAGCCAGATTCTGATTTACAAATCTAAACACGTTTTCAAACATTTTCTTTCAAATATTTATAAAAGATATTTCTTATTTATTGTTTTAATAAAGATGGCTTTGCATCTGAAAAATCGTATTGTCTGGCAATTTCAAGCAATTCGCCCTTTTACAAGGACTCTAGCCATTCTTGAGTAGGATTTAAAATAAAGTCATCCACTTTAACTGACATTGTGAAAGTCTTACTATTGTAAGATCAAAAGATCAGGGACTAAGATAATTCAGAAATAAAATGAATTTAAATCACAAAACAATTTAAATTTCCGTTACGACTCTATGGTCGAAAACTTGATTAATAGAAAAGATACAAAACCAACAACTTTGTAAAACTTAACAAACCATTTCGTTATTAAAGAAATACATGAAAAATATGAGAGGAACTTACAGAACAATGAAGTGGATTCAAAGTAGTCCTTCTATATGTCTATAAAAGTACTAAACGAATAAAGGTCCCTGATAATTTTCAATACAGGAAATGAACTGGTCATCCAATAACCGTGACGTTGTGAAGACGACATTGTCCATAAGTCTTTCGAATAATTTATAACATTTCCAGATTAATATTATAGTACAAATAATGTGTACATTCGATCACCCGGAACATGTTGAAGCAATATTTTTTCCCCTAAAAAAACAACTAAATACAATATAAAACACGTCTGCAGACTTACATCAGGAACACAAAAAGTGTGAATGAATCCAGATATCGGAATGAAACTGAAAGCGTTTTCTTCCTATATACACCATATAATGCAACTGTGGTATCCCCATTAGACCTCATGTGACAACATACACTACTGATAGTCGACAAACAAACTCTATAAACGCGACCTCACTCATCCAGTGGGAATCCACATAATTATTCTGGAAACATAAATGTCCCAGAAGACACTGAAAAAATACGCCATATGGTGGCATTTTAGGTATTATTATTACGATAAGAGTGAGCAATACACGCATGTAATAAAATATCCTTTTAATTGTTGCGTAATTAAGGTCAGCTAAGCTGCATTGCAGTTGCTCTTTGATTAAAGTTTGCTGTCATCTAAAACAGTAAAATGTATTGTGCAATAACATTTTCAGCAAGCATCTTATGACTGCATTTCACAAAATGTAATTTACTTTTGAAAGCTGACACGAGTGTTCTTATTCCGATGAAAGCAATTTGCCAAACAATTATAAGGGACAAATGTAATTACCAACAATTTTATTTACACCATAAAATCTATCAAAAACGCGTGACGTCTTCTAAATTTATTTACAACATTAATCAAAAAATCTATTTACACCACAAAACCTATTATGAAAAGTGTTTGGCATCCTCCAAATTTATTGACATCGTAAGGTCTATCATCAAAAACATTTATTTACACATTAAATATCTACTGCGAAAAGGGCAGGACATCCTCCAAATGTATTTACACCTTTTTGACACGTTGCATTATTATACTAAATTCACTTTTGTCATTTACGATTTTAGAAAACAAAAGCGATATTAGCAACAAAATTCGCTAAGGGCTGAAACTACTAAATTTACAGTATAATCTGTTGAGATGCTACCGACTGTGCCTAACTCCGAAAAAATAAACTCACTCGTAATGAAAGATATTTGATGCAGCATCGGAAAACGCATGTGGAATTTGCCCTAGATGAAAACAAACAAACCGTCCTGATGCTGCCATATCAAAATTCCAGTCATTCGGTTTCTCTTCCCTACGCAAATCTTACCATCTTATTTACCCAATACAATTTCCATAACTCTTGATATATTATTATTATTATTATTATTATTATTATTATTATTATTATTATTATTATTATTATTACGTCTCGCTACATGATTCTCATGACATATTTTCTTTAATTACTACGTTATTAAGTTTACCGGGATGTAATATATTCAGTACATAATGTCGTTCCTAGTCTAAGAACTTATGGTTTGCGAACTTGGTCTAGTCCATGTTTTCTCTTGGCTTTTGTGTTCAGTGTATGTTTTGGGATGCGCGTTGTTTCTTTCTGGATGAAGAGCCTGTTTTGTATTTGCGCCGTTTTCAGTGAGAATACAAAGATACAAAAGCACAAAACCTATAGAAACACACAAAACTGAATTTAGAACGACAACGAAAGCTTTTCATGTACTAGCCTGGATGCAAAACCTTGAACTA